TTGAATGATGCTCGATCCAAATATTCTACTTATGACTTGAAATTTTATGCTATTGTTTAAACTTTGAAATTTTGGATATGTTATTTGATTCAAAGGGAATTTGTTTTAAATACTAACCACGAAGCTTTACCATTTTTGAGCTCTCAAAAAAATTTGAACAAAAGCCATGCCAAATGGGTTTCTTTTTTGCAAGAATACACTTTTCACATTAAACATAAAACTGGCATGTTAAACAACGTAGCTGATGCTTTAAGCAAGAGATCTCACTTGTTGGTAAATATTTACCCAATCATAACTTCTTTCGATTTTTTAAAAGACACTTATGCAAATGATCCTGATTTTAAGAGTATTTGGGATTCTTGTCTTATTTCTGTAACTGATCCTTCTGCTCAATTTGTTATTCAAAAAGGGTTTTTGTTTAAGGGTTCTAAACTTTGCATTACAAAGAATTATTTAAGAGAGCAACTTATGCAAGAACTTCATAGTGGGGGTTTGGGTGTACATTTTGGATAAGGAAAAACTGTTGCCTTGGTTGAAGAAAAATATTTTTGACCTCAAATGAGAAAGCAAAGTTCCAAGCTTGTGAAACAATGTAAAATCTGTTAAGCTTTTAAGGGAACTTCTCAAAACATTGGTTCGTATACTCCACTTCCTATTCCAAAATAACCTTGGGAGGATATCTCTATGGATTTTGTTTTGGGGTTGCCTATTACTGCAAGAAAGTATGATTCTGTTTTTGTTGTTGTGGGCCGATTTAGCAAAATGGCACACTTTATTCCATGCAAGAAAACTTCTGATGCTTCATATATTGCTGACTTATTTTTTAAAAAAATTTGTTCGTCTTCATGGTAATCCTCGCACATTTAGTTATTATAGGGATACTGGATTGAGTTATTTTTGGAGAACACTTTTAGCAAAATTAGGAACTGCTCTTCAATTTAGTGATGCATATCATCCACAAACCGATGGGCAAACTGAGGTTGTCAATCGAAGCTTAGGGAATTTACTGAGATGTTTTGTTGGAGAAAAGTTATCCCAATGGGAATTGATATTGCCCCAAGCTGATTTTTCATACAATAATTCTGTTAATCGCTCCACTGGTAAAACTCCATTTGAGTTTATTTATAGTCAGCATATACCTTACATTCTAGATAGAAATCGTTTGACTTTGCCTAATAAAGTCATCCACAAACCGATGGGCAAACTGAGGTTGTCAATCGAAGCTTAGGAAATTTACTGAGATGTCTTGTTGGAGAAAAGTTATCCCAATGGGAATTGATATTGCCCCAAGCTGATTTTGCATACGATAATTCTGTTAATCGCTCCACTGGTAAAACTCAATTTGAGTTTATTTATAGTCAGCATATACCTTACATTCTAGATAGAAATTGTTTGACTTTGCCTAATAAAGTCAGTGCTGAAGCTACTGAAACTTTTGACCATATCAAAACTGTCTAACAACAAGTCCTTGAAAAACTCCGAATGACTAATGTTAAATACAAATCTGCTGCTGACAAACATCGAAGGGAAGTTTATTTTAAGGAAGGTGAATTTGTTATGGCTTACTTTCGTCGCTAACGATTTCCTGTTGATACTTTTGAAAAATTAAGGAAGAAATTTGGGCCTTTTCGTGTTCTACGAAAGTTGGGCACGAATGCCTATCACTTAGATCTTCCTATTTCTGTTGGCACTTCCCCTGTGTTTAATGTTTCTGACCTTTCTTTGTATGAAGAAAATTCTGATGATTTTACGGAAGTTGAAACTTTGCCACTCTCCACATCAATTCCAAACAATGATGAACATGTTGAAGATGTTATTGATGTCAGGATTACTAAAATTAGAGATGACGAACACAAGAGGTTTTTGGCAAAATGGAAGAATCATCCTTTGACAGACTGTACTTGGATGGATGCTAATGAGTTAAAAAATCGCCATCCGAATTTTTATCAGAAAATTGTGGAAGGCTTCTCATCAGGAGATGAGATTCTCCTACCAAGGAGGAATTGATGCATTCATATTTTGGCTTATTTTCATTTTATTATAATTTGAATATTATAATTGTGTTTTAAGTTTTTTTTATGCTATCGAATGATGGAGAACATCCAAGGATTATGGTAGGATGTGTTTGGGCATGGCAAGCCTTGGGTATGCTAGCTTTTTTTGTCCTTTTGTTCTTTGGGCTGCTTGCTGTCTCTCGGGTTGGGCCTTGGCTGCATGAGCTGAAAACTTGGGATCTTCTTGGTGCTAGCTCATTAATGCTTGAGCTGATGTTTAGCTCATTATTTGGAGTAATTGCACTACTTAGCTCATAAATTTAAAAATGTATTCTTCTTTTCAGCTCATTATGTGGAGTTGGAGCTTGCCTTTTCCCCTTCTTGTGTCCCCTCAGTTTCTCCCTTATGTTATTCCTGTGACTGGTTCTCCTCCCTTTTACTGGTGTTGGTTCCGGTCCCCTGTGTTGTCTTTTCGATTTCTTCCCTGGTCGTTTTCCTGTGGCTGCCTCTATCAGGTTCTTGTGTTGTCTTTTTGGGTGTTGTTTTGTGTTGTCTGCTGGCTTTCCTCTTCCCCTTACCTGATTGGTTCGGTTGGAGGTGAAAATTGGTAGTTTGACTCCCCTTTTTTCTCCTATAAATATGAGGGGTTTTATCATGAAGAGTTTGTTGATTGACTAGAGAAAATTCTCTAAAAATTGAGGGTTTCTTCTTTTCTCTTGGAAAATCTTGAGAGCTTGTTCCAAATATCTCTTCCTCTTCTATATTTAATCTCTTCTTCTCTACGCAAGTTCCACTCCACTTGTATCCTTCTTCTTGAGCTGTTGGGAGACATTTGTTAGCATATTTGGAGACATTTGCTAGAGTAGTTTGGTTGGACGTTGGACCTTATTGCTTTGGTGGACCCTTGGTTTGCAAGCCCTAAGCACTTTATTATATTTTTCCTACTTCTCGTTGCATGTGAGGAAACTGCTTGCCAGTTTTTCTGAGGATAGTATTTTTATTTTATAATTTTATTTCGTTTGTTCGACTTTTCATTTGTTTTGGTGTTTGTTTGGATGTTTGCAATCTAAATTGAATCGAGTTTGGTTTTCATTTGTCCTAGTGTTCTCCTATTTGACTTTTCTCTCTAGTTTGCCTGCATCAGTTTGTATTTTCTTGTGAGTGTCTTTCCTGTAGTTCTTATATTTGTTTATTCCCATTCTTTACAGAAAAACTATGTTTTAGCTTTTGGAGTTTCTACAAGACAATATAAGTAGGCCTATGTCACTCAGCCAAATAGAGAAACACGATGCCAACAACCACCATTTGCACGACAGGATGGGAAATCAAAGGGCCAAACAAAGAAGAAGAATAGCATGCACGCCGCCCAGTCTAATTTAATGTTCTTAATCAAATGTTTGTCATAAAGAAAACTACTGCCCTTAAGAGTTAAAACTGCTCCTAACAACAGTGAAGGTCGAGAAATCAAATAGAAATGTGGCAAGCTTTTATCTCTCTCTCCCCCAGCCATTGGATGCAAACAACTTAATGTAAGAGGATGGGGTTTGGTTTAAATTTATTTAAAATGAATCGATTATGTATTGATTAAATTTGGCTGAGCTTCGTTTGATTTATCTTGACTTAAATTATTCCGATAAAACTTATGTTCATATTTTGGTTTTTGAGGGTATTAACTTATCTAAAAAGATATAAATATGTTTATGTTTTGAGTTCTAATCATCTTACATAAATCCAATGAAAGATCCATAATTATGTTAAATACATATAAATACTTTATATTATCAAGTTCCTGATAAACAGCTGATTCAAATGTGAATATTTATAATGAAAAAATTGTCATATGTGAAAACCCGAAAATGCCGTTTTAGACCTCGCACGCTTTTCAAAGCGCCGCGACGAATTTTAAGTGCAAAAATTTGATGTTGTTGGATTTCGACGGGTTTAATTTTAGAAAATCCTACGCAAAATTCTGATCAAATTGATATATAGAACTTATAGTTAATTTGGATTATTTTAAGAGATAATAATTTTAGAAGTTTCATAATACCGGTTTTGCCCCTAATCAAATGAACTACCAAAATTACTTAAGTAAGGGCAAGAGGGTCATTTGCAAACCATATATCTTTAATATGAGTAAACCGAACCTCCCCTCCCCACTTTTCATTCGGCCGAACCGAAGGAGTTCGCGAAAAGGAGAGCAGGCGCGCGGAAGAGGAGCGGCGGAAGGCTTGGGTGGCTGCTCCGGCGGTGGTTTCCGGCGGTCGGCTTTGAGGGAAATTGTAGAGGAGAATAAGAGGAAGATTAAGGTATGCTTTACTTATGTATTCCTCCTTTCCTCTCAAAGTTTTCTTAAAATGAAAATCTAGGGTTTGAGGGGAAACTTTGTTTTTCTTTAAGAAAATGTTAGGATAGGTTTAAGAGATGATCTTGTGCATAAGAATGATGTTTTTCTTTAAAAAAATGTGGAGTAAGAGAATTAGGGTTTTAGGGAAATTTGAGTTTTCTTTAAGGTTCCTTTGACAAAAGTTTAGGGAAGGGTTAGAGGAAGTTTTTAAACCCTAATGTGAAGTGTTTTCTTGAAATATGAAATTTTGGAAATTAGGGTTTTCTCTAAAGTTTGAGTTTTTGAAAATGCTGAGAGCATTAATTTAGATTTATTATAAATGATTTTGAAGAAGAAATTATCTCTATTAGGTGTTTTGAAGCAATCTCGAAGGAAGAAGAATTAGCGAGGAGAAATCAATTTTTCTAATTTTCAAGTAAGTATGCACGGTTCTTTATTTCAGTAATACTTTTGTTACCCTCAAGTTATATGCAATCATTATCCTTTACTGTTGTCAAATTCTTTATTGTTGTCAAGAGAATGATCATACAAATTACATGTACAATTTATGATATCTTACGATAAGGTTTATATGTTATAAGGAATAAGATGGAATGAAATGATATGCTTATGTATATTGAATGCTTGTATGTGCATGTTGAAAGGATGGAGTTCACCCCCTTATGGTACTAGCTGGGGACGCTGTACTCGTGCACGATAAAATGGTAAAGGATATGGAAAAGGAAAATGGTAAAGGTGTACCTTTATGGTACAGACGGTGACTCCTGTGACGGTTGTATTATATACGAAAAGAGAAAGTTAAATATATTGATATGAATATGGAAAGGAAAATGAAAGATATGATTTATGATATGATATGTTTAATGCCATGTTAGTATGAAATCATTTTATGTTATGTTCATATGAAATTGAAATTTAGCATATTGTTCAGTTGTCTTGTTTACTGTAGTTTAGAATTGTGTATTTCTTACTGAGCTTTAGCTTAATGTTAGTTGTTAACATTTTCAGGTAAACTTAAATTAATCAAATGAGTAGAAGGGGCGGCAATGTTTATCGTCGTAGAGAAGCTCCAGAAGAAAGGTAAGGATGAAGAATATGTCTGCTTATATGTTTATGTGATTTCAAACTTTATTGTTATAGTGGCTCTTTCAAAATATTTTGGAGATTTATTTAGGGAATTGATAGATTTAGGAATTAGATACTTGACCTACCGTCCGACCTCTGTTCCCGCTTCGCCTACTCGAGCTCACCGGGCCTGGGTCATGACAAGAGTGGTATCAGAGCAAAGGATTTGAGGATATTGATTTTTATGAAAGAGCCAATAGGATGATCTTGTAGGTTAAGGGTAGGTATAAGGTGCTTGTGCTATTTATTGCTTAGATTGTTTTGTTGCATTATATCTCAGGGCTGAGAAATCTGAACCTAATGCCACTAATGACAACACTGGAGAGGTCAGGAGGGAATTGCCAATAGTAGTAGAGCCTCGAGGTAGTAGCATTAATGCTTCTTTGGATTCTTTCACCCAAATGATGGCGGCTATAACAAAGATGATAAAGAATGCTCAGACCCAAGCTGAAGGCAGTGGAGGCACTGTTATGGATAAGAATTTAAAGTTATTCCAGTATATGAAGCCCCCATCATTTGTGGGAGGTGAAGCTATAGAAGCAGAGGATTGGTTAATGAAAGTTGAGAAGATTTTGGAGGGAATGCTATGCCCTCAGGATAGAAGGGTTGCCTTAGCTGCATATGCTTTTAATGGGGAAGCAGAAAGATGGTGGAAAAGTCAGTTGGAAGGAACTTTTGGTGGGAGACCTAGCAACCAAATAACATGGGAGGAGTTTGTCAAAGTGTTTAGAGATTGGTATGTACTAATGACTGCCAGGAGGTCAATACAAGACAAATTTAATAGACTGGTGTAGGGAGATAAGACCATTACAGACTATGAGGCTGAATTCACGAAGCTTTCTAGGTATGCCTCCCATCTAATCCCTAATGCAGAAGAGAAATGCCACCGCTTCCTTTGTGGCTTGAGGGATAGCATAAGACAGCCATTGGTTCCTTTGGGTATTGAAGACTACTCTACATTAGTTGATAGAGCACGAAAGGTTGAGCTGGATTATCAGAGTACTCAGAGGAGAAGAGATTTTCAGAAAAGGAAGAATTCTGAAGAGGATATTCAAAGCAACCAGACTGAGGGATCAAATGGGAAGAAGCCCAAGTTTAGTTCTAGTGGAGGCAGTGGTGCAACTGTAAGTAAAGTCACTGAACCTTGTGCTAAGTGTGGCAGATTACATAAAGGTGAATGTCTGATTGGTTCCAACACTTGTTATTGGTGTCATCAGCCTGGACACATTGCAAAATATTGTCCTGCTTTGACTCAGAAGACTTCAGGAGGAATGAGATCAATTGAAGCACCTTCACAGAGGAATTATGAAAAGTCCAAGATGATAGAACCATCAGTTGCGGGTTCAATGCAAAATCAATCCAGGCAGAATGTTAGACCACGAGTTTACAGTTTGACTCAGCAAGAGCCCGATGGATCTTTAGATGCTGACAATGACAATTGAGATGGCTTTATAGTTTATTTTCAGTAACTTGTAATGATAAATTTGATGTTTTGATGTTTTGGATTTAGTAGTTTATCTTGTTATGTCATGTCAGATGTTTTGGGATTGATCAGATTATTTTGCTAAGATATTTCAGATATTTGGTTTATTCTGTTTCAATGTTAAGGTTTATGTTAATGAAATAGAAGCTGTTGGGTTGTTTTGCAATTAGAAGTTGTGTAAATTTCGGGGACGAAATTTTTATTAGGAGGGAAGATTGTGAAAACCCAAAAATACCGTTTTAGACCTCGCATGCTTTTCAAAGCGCCGCGACGAATTTTAAGTGCAAAAATTTGATGTTGTCGGATTTCGACGGGTTTAATTTTAGAAAATACTACGCAAAATGTTTGAGTTTTTTAAAATGCTTTTACAAATATGGTTCCTAAGGGTTCTAAGAAGGTTTCGAAATGTATAAATTAGGTTTTTCTCACATAATGGTATTTTTCAAATTTTTAAAATTAGTTAATCCGAAAATTAGTTTTCCATAATTTTATTTTGATGAATGGGAAGTTTTAGCATGCAAAACTAAGCATTTTAATGAAAATAGGTTTTTCAAAATTTGGGTTTTAAGTTAAATCCGAAAATGCAACTTATTTTAAATTAATTTAGGTTTTGGGTGAAGTGTTATTTTTATTAATATATGTAATTGTACAAACTATTGAATTTTTAGAATCTATGTATGTGTTAAGCTTTAATTGAGAAAGAAAGAGAGTGAGGGAGAGAAAACTTAAGATAATTTAAAATGAGTAGGAGAATGCTATTTTGATTTAGTTTGTAGATTTGAAAAATGAGAAATTGATATTTATAGGTGATTAATCGTGGTGACTTCGAAGGAAGGACTAGCAAGAGAAAATCAGATTCCAAACTTCTGTAAATATGCACGATTCTTTATTTCAGTAATACTTTTATTACCCTCAAGTTATATGTAATCATTATTCTTTACTGTTGTCAAATTCTTTATTGTTGTCAAGTGAATGATCATACAAATTACATGTACATTTTATGGTCTTATATGATAAAGTTTATGTTATATGGAATGAGATGATATGAATATTATTTGAATGCTTGTATGTGCATGTTGAAAGGATGGAGTTCACCCCCTTATGGTACTTGCTGGGGACGCTGTACTCGTGCACGATAAAATGGTAAAAGATATGGAAAAGGAAAATGGTAAAAGAGTACCTTTATGGTACAGACGGTGACTCCTGTGACGGTTGTATTATATACGAAAAGAGAAAGTTAAATATATTGATATGAATATGGAAAGAAAAATGAAAGATATAATTTATGATATGATATGTTTAATGCCATGTTAGTATGAAATCATTTTATGTTATGTTCATATGAAATTGACATTTAGCATATTGTTCAGTTGCCTTGTTTACTGTAGTTTAGAATTGTGTATTTCTTACCGAGCTTTAGCTTAATGTTAGTTGTTAACATTTTCAGGTAAACTTAAATTAATCAAATGAGTAGAATGGGCGGCAATGTTTATCGTCGTAGAGAAGCTCCAGAAGAAAGGTAAGGATGAAGAATATGTCTGCTTATATGTTTATGTGATTTCAAACTTTATTGTTATAGTGGCTCTTTCATAATATTTTGGAGATTTATTTAGGGAATTGATAGATTTAGGAATTAGATACTTGACCTACCGTCCGACCTCTGTTCCCGCCTCGCCTACGCGAGCTCACCGGGCCGTGTCGTGACATCATATATCTAGACTTTCATGATATACACGCATTTCATATTAAGAATTCGTAGATTAAAAAAAATGGTTTATTTGTACATTTGAACTATAACATTGATTCAGTCAATGCAAGAATATGTAATTATTTTGAGTGAATGTTTCATGTATTAATTTATCATATATGATTCATGATTTTATCAAGTTTATGTGCTTAATATCTTGATCGTGTACATATATATATGCTCAATATATAAGAAGTTCAGTGATTATATTCTAAAGTCATAAGTTCTTCAAAGGAAAAGGTAATAACTTATACTTACTGTTATTATAGTATCCAATTCAATTTATAGTTGGAAATAAAAGGAGTCAGTTGCTATTGGTTAAATGCTTATGATTATATCATTGTGGGTGTGTAAATTTAATAAAGTTATCATGTAATCGGCATCGTTATTATGATTGTTCCTTTTCGTATATTGATATGCATAGTCTCTACCATTCTTTTTTTATGTTGTTTCATATAGAGCGTAATTGTTGGAGAATTTTTGTATCCATAAACAGATTGCATATTTTATGATTGAATACGGCATAAGAATAATAATATATTACCCCGAGAGGTAAAAATACAATTTTCTTATGGACTCAATGATAAAATTTATAATTTTAACAGAGATTCCCCCATTTGATGTTTGGTCAAATGGGTTTATTTTATTTATGGGGTACAAACATTCCATAGGGGCAAGCCCTTATGGTTAATTACATCTCAAGCTTCGGCTTAAGAAAACTTTTAATTAAACTAGTGATTTTTTCTTTGAAAAACATTTTAGACATTGGCTAAATTTGATTTTTTTGAAATCCATAAAAGTCTTATTTAAAGGGTTTTTGCCATTAGGAATTTCAAGGATGAGATGATCAACTTAAAATCAGATTTTGGAATGAGAGCCAAAAGAGGTGAAGTAGGAGCACTTGATTCTGAGAAATCTCAGAAATGCTTGGATTATCCTATGTTGAACTTTACATTTTAGAACTCTAATTTTGTTTAAGTTGATCATTTTTAATAGAAAGTTGGGGCTTACATTCAAACAACATATGTTGAAGGAATTGTCTGAAAAGTGAGGGCTTATATAGTGATTTGAAATCAAATATTGCCTTAGACCCTAAAACTAAGGTGACTACCGATATGTAGTACATCGAACCTAAGTCTAACGAATACAAAAGGGACTTATAAGCCACACGTCACATGAGGCATAGCCTACCCGACCTCTGGATTTACTGTCCTGCCTGGAAAAGACTACCAGCTAGACCCTCCTAATCGCTTTTAAAGCCATGTCGTCCGGTCTAATACAAATGTAGAGTGGGAAGGTTGGTTTTGTTTAAGTAGGGTTATAGCTTGACTTTAAGGCCAAGATGCTGTTTATGTGGAATATGCAGAATGCAGACTTACAAATGTAAACTTTTTGTTATCTAGTACTTAACTGAAGGCATTTCTACATGAGACACTTTTAGGGGCTATACATGTTTATTTTAATTTTTTGAAACTTGGCTCCTTGAAGGAAGCCATGCAAATTTTCTTTTATTAGGAAATCATGAACCCTAACTTCATTTTTTAGATTGTTTACATGTTAAGAGGTAAAAAATTTATTTTGTCCTAAGAGCCTACTGCACCAAAGTCCAGGCCACACCCAAACAAACAAGAGAATAAACCTAGAAAAAAGCATACTTTTCTATTGCACATCCAGTAAACAATCAACACATGCTTGTATATAAATCAAAATAGAAGTATAGGTAGTGTCCCTATTATTACAAACAATTTTGACAGCTGGGTTGTCTGCTTTTATACAACCCAGTCAAATTATTACAAACTCTACTTGTTGGGGGTTCTTCAAGCTCTTGACTTCTGAATGGACCTAGGGCTTCACCATTGGTAGGTACATCCTTTTAGTCTGATTCCTTTTTTTTCTTCAAACCCCCACAAATTTTATATCATACTTCTATCAAATACATTTGAAATATATAAAAGACTTAATCCTGCAAAATATAGTTAGAAGCAGTTTATATGATAATCACATAACATCCCAAAATTGGCTTAGCACTTTGAGTGCTAAGTACCTGCTTCTACCCTATTGTACATGTCTCTTTGGGGGTTTTAAGCAGCGCCTGCAAGCAAACAACATTAGTATAATCATGACTTATTTATTTACCCCCTTCTTGGACATGGTCACCTGCGCAAAAAACATGTATATGTTTCTAAACTAACCACTTAAGGGCAAGTGCCTACAGTGCAGACAATCCAAAAGGGGATTCACACCAAATCATCAATCACATGCACACACAAAGAAAAATTCTAATCCTAACATGCTTAAGGGGTTGTGCATCTAAGTGTGTGAGGCTTGTGTGGTATGTCACACTAAGGGTCATCTTAACTTAGATCTAAGAAAAAAGTGTCCAACATGTAGCTTTTGAGCTCAATGTTGGAGAAATCCCACCCCCTAGCTTTTCGAGCTAGAGGAGTGAATTCTTTTAGCTTTGGGGCTAAAGAAAGGAGAGAAATAGAGTCCAACACATAACTTTTGAGCTACATGTTGGAAGAATTCTCCTTAACTTTTGGAGCTAATAAGAGAAAGTAGGAACCCAATATTTAACTTTTGGGCTAAATGTTAGAAAATTCTCTCTAACTTTTGGAGCTAAAGAGAGAAAAAATCACCTATAATATGGAAGTTGGAGGAGAGTTAGGAATATGCAACTTATGGGTTGCAAATTCAAGGATGTTTTCTTAAACACTTTGATGTTCAAAGAGAGGGTTGCACCCTTCCAATTTAAGTTTGGAAGGAAAGAGGGAGATAGAACTTTGAATCCTATGATTGGGATGAAACTATTTATTGCTTTTAGTTCAACAAATAGGTTGATTTGGAACAAGATTGAATCACTCAACATGAGTTGAGTGAAAAAGAGCTTCAGAGAACTTTTGAGTTGTAGGAAGATGGGAATTGAGCTTCAAAGAGAAACATTAATTTGCCTAATTTGAAGCTAGGCAAATGAAGAGGAATTTGGAGGTTTCCTACAACTTAGGCTTGTAGGAAAAGAAGTGGTCTAAAGTGCAACCTAGGGATTGCAAATTGGAGGAGTTCCTTTGAACATTTGGTGTCCAAAGAAGATGTTAATTCCACCAATTTGGGTTGGAGGGGAAGAGAAGAAAGGATGCAACTTGGAAGTTACAATCCCATGAGCATTCTTTGAACATTTGGTGTTTAAAGGGAGATGTACATTCTCAAAATTT